TCTTTCTTTCTTTCTCTTTTCTTTCTCTCTCTCTCCACCTCTCTCCCTTTCCTTTCCTTCCCTTTCCCTTTCCTGACAGAGTCTCACTCTTGTCACCCAGGCTGGAGTGCAATGGCAAGATCTCAGCTCACTGCAACCTCCACCTGCCAGGTTCAAGCAATTCTCCCGCCTCAGCCTCCCGAGTAGCTGGGATTACCTGCCATCATGCCTGGCTAATTTTTGTATTGTTGTAGAGACAGGGTTTCACCATGTTGGCCAGGCTGGTCTCTTAACTCCTGACCTCAGGTGATCTGCCCACCTTGGCCTCCCAGAGTGCTGGGATTATAGGCGTGAGACACCACGGCCAATCCTCTCTCTTTCTTTGTTTTTTTTCTCTCTCTCTCTTTCTTCCTTTCTTCCCCTCCCCTCCCCTCACCTCTTCTCCCCTTCTCTTCCCTTCCCTTCTTTGCTGTGTTTCCATTCTGGAAGTTCTTTCCCTCATCCCCTCATTGCTTCTGCAGAGCATTTACTCTGCCAGTGCCCCCAAGGCTCGTGGCTGCCTGGCTGCTGGATGACAGTAATGCATGCATTTCACGTCTCCCCCAGAGGAGTAATGCCGGGGACCATTTGTAGGTGGATGGGAAACTGAAGCAAAGCGTGCTTCAATTTAGATTCCCCAAACTGCCAGAGCCCCATTAAAACTAGACAACTGTTGTTACCTTTAACAAAAGGTTTGCCTCTATTTTCATGTGTAACACACAAGCCCATGGCCTTGACCGGCCTTGGAGGAGGATTGTTAGTGTGTAGGTATTATAGTCTCTGAGGCAGATACACGTGCATCTGCTCAAGTTTAAGATCAGCAGCCGCTCTTTCATATTCTGTGTGTCTGTCTTTGCTGTCATAGAATCCCATTGTTCCAATGGAGAAGTTACAGGATATCCAGAGAGCAATGGAGCTGTTATCCGCATGCCAGGGCCCAGCCAGGAACATTGACGAGGCTGCAAAGCACAGATACCAGTTTTGGGACACACAGCCAGTACCTAAACTAGGTAAGTCTTTCTGCTTTTCTCTTTTTTACCCTAGAAACAAAGCTGGATGAACAACAACAATAAAAACACAAAGAGTATTAACTTCACGTGTATCATTTATTTCATACCACAGATTTGAAATCTATGCAGGAGTAATATTTTTCTTCTGAAAATACAAATACTAGGTAGTGATACTGACTTTCGATAACCATTATTTTAGTCCAATTTCTATCCCAATGAAAACATCCAATTTCCCCACACTTGAAAAATTACTATTATTATTTTTATTTTTGAGATAGGGTCTCACTCTATCACCCTATCACCCAGCCTGGAGTACAGTGGCATGATCATAGCTCACTGCAGCCTCCATCTCCTGGGCTCAAGCGATCCTCCCATGTCAGCCTCCCATATCTGGGACCACAAGTGCACACCACCACACCTGGCTAATTTTTGTATTTTTTTTTTTTTTTGTAGAGATGCTGTTTCAGTATGTTGCTTGGGCTGGTCTCGAACTCCTGGGCTCAAGTGATCCGCCTTCCTTGGCCTCCCAAAGTGCTGCGGTTACAGGAGTGAGCCACTGCGCCCAGCCCATTAGAGTATTAAAAATGTGTATCAGGTTCTGTGATGGAAGGACCAGGCCCTGAGGGTCCCTCATTCAGCAGGTGTCTGTTGAATGTTATTAAATGCCAGGCATAGTCCAGGGCACACACCTGGAAACAGTGGTGGAAAAGCAGGACAAAAGGTGGCCAGGCTGGGGAGGAGGGGCGACACATTGAGGCAGAGAAAGGCTTTAGTTAAGCAACAGATGCTGGAAGAAAGTGATGTGTGATGTGTAAGCTTCTGTTGGGAATTTCAAGGGGCCAGTCCCTTGAGGACCAGAGGGCCTCAAGCCAAAGGAAGGCACCAGGAAGGCCCTGAGCTGAGGCCAGCCCTGCTCAGCATGGCCAGAGCACTGGGAGCAGGGGGGAGGGAAGGTATGGAGAGGGGGCTGAGGCAGGCAGCAGCCGTGGGGAAGAGCCTGGGTTTTAGTCCCACCGTGTTGGGAAGCTCTGCAGAGAATGACTTGGAAAAGGTATCTTGGTGGAAATCACTAGAAACTGTGATGGCCTGGACTACGCTGCTAGCAGTTCAGATGGGGAGAAGTAACCAGCTTTGAAATTGTCTTTATGTTTTTCTGGGAGGGGGCAGAGGTCACTGCAGCCCTTTCCTCTCCCAGTTTGTGGAAATGCAGTAAAAAGAACACACCTCCCAAGGCTGTCGGATGAAACCTGTATTGCTTATGACGGTGTGTAAGATAAGCCTGCATTGTAGGCCTTGAGACTCAGAATCACTGTTGTTTGTAATGAAATCTTTGCCATTGGATGACAAAGTATTTCTCCTTTTATTTAATTGGCAAAATAGGCCAGCCACGGTGGCTCACATCTATAATCCCAGCACTTTGGGAGGCTGAGGTTGGAGGATCACTTGAACCCAGGAGTTTGAGATCAGCTTGGGCAACATAATGAGATTCTGTCTCTATAAAAAAAATTAAACAATTAGCTGGGCACTGTGGTGTACACCTCTAGTCCCAGCTACTTGGGAGGCTGAGGAGAGAGGATCGCTTGAGCCTAGGAGTTGGAGGCTTCAGTGAGCCATGATCGCGCCGCTGCACTCCAGCCTTGGCGACAGAGTGAGACCCCGTCTCAAAAGAATAAAAAAAAGAAAAATAATTGGTGAAACAGCAATGATTTCACACCACTGCCTAGCTTTCCTGTTTCAGTCCAGAGGCGCTTGATATAACAGCATCTTTTTAAAGATTATATGAAACCCAAGGGCCCTAAGTCTGATTTTGCTTATGTCGCTGGCCACTTTGGATGGTTAGAATACTTTGTCATTTAATATTCTCTCTTTTTGCCTTTCTTTTTTCTCTTTCTCTCTCTGCTCAGATGAAGTCATAACATCTCATGGTGCAATTGAACCAGATAAAGACAACGTACGCCAAGAACCGTATTCTTTGCCACAGGGTTTTATGTGGGACACTTTAGACTTGAGTAATGCCGAAGTGGTGAGTGAGTAGAAACCTCTTAAATTCAACTCCTGCATTCACACATTGCTTCTGAGTTGATTCTGAGCACCATGGATAGGACACTTGTTTTATCTTATAGCTCAAGGAGTTATACACGTTGTTAAATGAGAATTACGTAGAAGATGATGACAATATGTTCCGATTTGACTATTCACCCGAGTTCCTGTTGTGGTAAGTCTCAGCGGTCACAGATGTCGTGGATAGGCGCTGTTGACTTGGGGACTCCTGCCTCTGTTCCTGTATTCTTGGACAATAACTGGTGCCTGTTTTCTTGTCTACCGTGATCTCAGGGCTCTGCGTCCACCAGGCTGGCTCCTGCAGTGGCACTGTGGGGTCAGAGTGTCTTCAAACAAAAAGCTGGTCGGGTTCATAAGCGCCATCCCAGCAAACATTCGGATTTATGACAGGTACATGTTTAAGCTCGACCATGCTGTTTTTATATGTTTCTTTTCCAAGAATTACAATTAGAGTAGGCCTTTAAAAGTTACTGAATGCAGGCCAGGCGCGGTGGCTCA